CTGGAATCTTGATTATTATATGACTTGGTGTAGGTTTATTTTGGTTATGGATATTTGGAGTTCTACATGTTTGCTAATTTGTATGTCAAATTCTTTATCCATGTTTGAGAAGTTTCTGCTATTATTTTTGTGAAGTTTTTTTTATGGCATTTGTATTGTCTTCAGCTTTCTTATTGACCCCAGTGAATCTTATGGTGTTCTTCTTTGCTTCATCTTGCAGCTGTTGGGTTGATTTTTCACGGTCTCTTGCTACTTTTAAGATATCTTTCTTTTCATGGTCGTTAGCTGCAATCCTATCTTCTAGAGCCTAATATTCTATCCTTACCTTCATTCAATCTGTTGCATATACTTTCAATGGAGGTTTTCACCTCTTGGATTTCTGTTTAGATCTGTTTCATGGATTCCATTTCTTTCAATGTTGGGCCTTTATGGTTCCCATCATTTACCCAAGGTCCTTTATCATTTTATCTGTGTCTACTCTAATATCTTTCATTCTGATCATCATTTAGTTTTGTACCTGAGAGACGTGGGGTTGTGTGTGCATCTCAGCCAGGGCCTGGTCTTGCTGGTCACACTTGTTGCCCATGCCCAGGTCTGACCTTATATCTCTGATCCCCTGGTTCACCCACTGGCTTGATTTCTCACCAAATTAGGCTTTTCCCTTGAAGGCTTTTGGAGACCCCTGCTTTCACTGCATCTCTTGGAGAAATGGTCTTCCTTCTTCACAAGCTGCAAGCCAAGAGCTGGGGCGGAAGTGCAGATTGCCTCTTTCATTTCCCAAATTAGGTTCTGTTCCTTTAGCTTCTCTGCAGGCTGCAGCTTTCCTGTCAGATCCTCTCTGGGTTCCAGGACTTCATTTCTTCCGTGAGTTTATATTTTCCTTTTCTGATGTCTGGGTTCCGAATCCTGGAGAGGCTGATTGGTGGTTGCTCACTGCTCTGCCATCCTCCCGGAAGTCCCCTATTATTACCGTTATGTACTTGATTCCAGATTATTTTTTACTCTTCACCTTGAATTTACAAATGCCCTGTTGGATTTCTCACCTGAAAGCTCTGCAAGTGCCTCAAATCTGAAGATTTTTTATTTTCTTATCTCTTTCAGCAGTTCTGCTTTTTTTTCCCCTTTCACTTAGTGTTTCAGTGAATGATGTTATTTTTATGATCAGATACTTAAGACATTATCTCAGAGCCTTTTTCAATTTTTAAACTTTCAACTTTCTTGTATCTCCATATTTTATATGAATCTCTTATAATGGAAGCTTATAGGTAAATGTTTTTGATCTGGCAAGCATTCTTTTTCTTTCTCCTTCTTTTATTCTTTCCTTCTTTCACTTTTGTTTTTGTTTTGTTTGTTTTTTTTGGTTTTTCTCCGGTACCGGGAACC